CCTGTTCATTCATCGCGTTGGCGTTATGCTGGACAAACAAACATTCCTGTGCTCGAGGAGAGTGTGAGTATGGGCTTCTCGGACTGAACATGGATTTGGCATTGGAAGATTCGAGAGTTTGCGTTTGGGGTTTGGGGTTTGGGGTTTGTGGACGATGATGGATCGGGGGTTCAGATTTGGAGAGATGTGTTTGGGTAAACTCGGATGGATTTTGAATATTTGTCTGATTCACATGTCAGAAGCGGTTCCACACTATTTGAGAGATGTGCTGACATGGACGTGGGGGAATGAAATTACACATCTTGATGAAAGCATCTTCTTTCCCAGTGTTTGTGAAGAGTTCTATGCTTGGGCGTTGACTGTGGAAATGTATCAAGTGGTATCGTGGACGCAGATTGAATCCGAATTTTGAGGAATTGGCATTGTGGGAACTTCTAGGTACTTCTCCAAGAAGCTCCCGTATAGAGACCCGACGTTTGCATTCGTCCAGGTCCCAGCTGGACCGTCATGTCCGCAATATCAAAAGCGTACATGCGCTCCATCCCAGTCCTTCAATATTCATGTATTCTCGCTCCATGACCTCAACTTCCACTCCCTGTTCAAGACACTAATTGTTTGCTCCCTCTAACGCACGCGACTTGCAACCGCCCTCTCCTCCCGCTCAATCCGCATGTTCACCGCACACAGTCCACAGACAGCAATGTGACACACGGGGACTTTGCATTCCCAAAGCTTCTCGTCGACATCTTCTCCGCATCTACCGCAAGAAACCGGAACACGAACGTGCTGCTTAATGCCCGAGTGAGTCCGAAGATACGGTCGAACCTCCAAGTTATTAATGCCGACCTCGTCTGGAACTTTCTTAAGATCAATAGCGCGGAAGATGTGGCCATTCTGGAGGCAGTGATATCTCGAAGAGCTTCGCGGTGGATGGGGAGAGCCAGGCTCGTCCTTCGGAAAAGGAGCGGGTGGTATTCTTTGATCGGCGAGGACGTCGGGGTCGATGCGTTCAGAGACCGGACGTTGCTGGTTGCGATCATATCTGGTTACCCAGTCCTGGACAAGCAGTTGTGATTCGCTGCGGGACATCTTTGGTTTGGCATCCTTTGTGAAGCGGTCGTAGCTAGTGTTGCGCATGTGTGTGGGGCTGACAAGCTGAATAGGATTAGCAAGATACATATTGTACTCATGAGTGCCCTTACCAGAGAGCCTTCGTCGTTCTTTGAGCGTAGAGCGACATCCGTCTTGCGCTTGGTGATATAAATGGGCTTCACAAGTCCAGTTGCGTTTACGAATGTCATGGCACGTGCTTCGCACACGACAGGTTCCTCGTCGATGTCGATGCTGCTATTGATCGAGTTTAGATCATCATCATCTTCTTCTTCATCTTCGTTTCCGTTGTTGATATTGTTGTTCTTCCCCTTGACTTTACCGCTGACAGTATCACTGGCGTCCACCGGCTTGCTGTACCTAACTGATTGCTGCTGCTCCATTGCTTCAAACTCGCGCTTGAACTCAACATGCCTCCTCTTCATTTCCGCTACCTCTGCGTCGAGCTTGGTTCGAGCAGCGTCAGACCTATCCAATTTCGTCACATGAAGCTTCAATTCTTCCTCGAGATCATCAAGAAGACCGGTTTCGTAACGCTGCAGAGGACTGCGCCATGGAGGAGCCTCTGGCTGCTTCGACTTCAAGTGGTTTGGATTTGCCTGAGAGCCTAGATGCGACGCATCATTTTGTTCCACGTCTTCGTGGTCCCTATCAGACGGTGAGATGTCGCCCTCTGATAGCGTGAAGGGACCAAGGCTGGTAATCACCGACTCTGTCTGGGAACGTTGAAGGAAAAATGCATTTCGAGGGGCCTGTGGACCAGGGGATTCATACTCAGAGATGACGTCCAACTCAGTATTGGATTCGATGTTACGATATGCGGCGTTCAACCCGTCGTGCGACATTTCCGTAATCGGTGCCATTCTATGAAGCGACTTGTGAGCTTTCTTGCGGCGATTACGTCGTGACGACTGAAATTCGATGCGCGGATCCATGAGAAAGCCTTCGAAGGTGGCATCAAGGGTACTGTTCAACAACGTCAGTTCAGCGTTCCCGGTCGAAGAGGACCTGATCCCTGACGCGACATACCCTCCGTCTTTGGCATGCTTTGTATGTCGTGGTCGCATGTCGAATCTTTTCAAACCCTTTTTATTGTTATCCCAGAACGACAACTTCTTTGCTGGATTAACATCTACATTCTCATCCTTGGACCTGATCGACTTGTTGCTTCTAAGCTGATCGATCTTAGCGATTACGAATATCTCTGTAAGAACATTGGTGGCCTCACCTGTTCAGAAGGGCTATCTAGTCTGTCTCTGCTGTTGCGAGCGTCTTCGGGGTGAAACCCAAGCAACTGTTTAGCCTTGGAAGGTGTCATCGGGGGTAAAGGCGAGGTGATGGCCATGCTCTCAGATGGGTCAGTGGCCCTGGTCGTATTCAAATTGAAGAGCCCAAACTTCTTCTTGCCGCCTGCGTCTGCGATAGGCGTACCTGCTGAAGTCGGTCTACGTGAAGGATAGGCGTAGTCTGAGCTGGAAGGCGAGATACGACCCAGCGTGCCGTGTGCCGGGCCGGGTGGAGTTGCTGTCCGCATGGCTTCATATGGAGCGACGAGATTGATACTTGTTTGGACTACCGTAGGCTCGCTTGACTCGCTTGACTCACTTGCTGCTGCTTCCGCGGCAAATTGTGGCAGGTGAGAGCGGCGGGTGAGACGACGCCTCTGCCTACCGGTCAGGAAGGCAGCGGGCCGTGGCCTGTTCCTGTTCGCGACTGGCGACAGTTGCGCAGTTAGGATATGATTATCCGCATACATATTGAACGAGGAGGTATACAGTTCCCTCTGCTACTGTGGGTGATTGGCTTGGTGTTTGTGTGTTGTGAAGAGGATTGGAGCGGATCGAGCGTTGTCCACGGGTCGTACGTGGTTGCCGAGTCGCCAGGCAAACGGAAGGCGCGACCAAACAGAAACAGTGACGCAGTTTAAGAGTGGAGTGAAGATGGACAGGAAATGAGCGTAGGATATGATGTGAAGTGGAAATTCTGATGCCGGTAGACCTGTTGTCAGTGCTGTGTATTCTGATGCCGGTAGACCTGTTGTCAGTGCTGTGTCGCCTACTTTCTGACTGTCTAGGGTGACAAGCGGCGAGGCCTCTGCCAAAAGCAAGCCCGTTAGATATACCGAGTAGCTTCAAGATGGCTGCTGATGTTTTGCATGTGCATGTGCAGTCGCTGACGAAGGGGAGCGGTGTAACAGGATTGAACGACATCGAGGTCATAAGAGACCAACCACCATTGCAAGCTCCAAAAAAAAAGAGTGACCAGAAAAGTGACTTGGGCATATCAACACGAGCTCATGGGACGCAAAAGTACCAGGACACAGAAACATAGGCCATCGAGCAGGAAAGGAACTTTACAATTGTCCGGCTGAAGATCTGGGGTATCCAATGCAAGTGCCATGCTGCTGCGACTCATATACTCACCTGTGTTACACAACACGCGCGCATCTTCCTTACCGCGCCCCCTAACCTCTATCACAAACGCTAAGAAGGAAAAAGAACAGCATTAAATTGTATAATCCCCCTGAAACTCCCTGCCCTCTTTCTCTCCCGCTTGTCCATAAGACGCCCGTCAGCCACTGGCATCTTCACCCAGCTTCGTCATCTTAGCCACTTGTTCACCCACTCCAGTACTCCCGCTTCTCACGCGTTGGGATTTTGGTGAGCTTGGTGCTAAGCCCACTTGACTCAGATTGCCCGTCGGCGATGCAGGCGGGCTTGCGGTTATCAATCCCTGGCCTAAAAAGGTATTTCCCATGGGCTGTGACGCATCTGGCTCACGACTCGCCGACCTGTTCGATTTACTACTCGGACTAGCCCCAAGACCTCTGTGAACATCCATGGGCGAGGCGCCGTGCAGGAAGTCCGAAATCTCTGCATCACTCGTCCCCTTGGTGTTGGTATCAGGTGTATGCGGTGCCGCAGTCGGCAAGTGTAGGGGCGAACTCTTTGCAGCCATGGGGTTGTTGAGTTGTAAGAACTTCTGAAACGCAGTGCGGTCGTCGCTATCGTCTTCCTCGTCGCTCGTGCCTTCAAAGTAGATACTATCCCAATCCACAGAGCCTATGCTACGCGCAGAATCTCCAGTGTCCATCCTCTTTGGATACTTGACTCCTGGGGACTTCAGAGGAGCTAGCTCATCAGCTACTTCTCGCATCTCGCTTTCGCTTCGGTCGACAGGGGGCTTCGTGTCTTCCTGGCCCTTGACATGTTCGCCGTCTTCTTTGACAGGTACTTCGACACCGGCTGCACGATCAATAGCCGACTCATTTTCATCACGAGTCTGCGCGGAGTAGGTTTCTGCGAAATGGGTGTCACAGAGGTGCTTAATCACCGGCCAACCGTAGGCGTTGGCAAACATGCGCCGGACAATAATGTTGTTGTGTGCATCAGGCTCTAATCGCACCAACACCTTGCGCCAGGAGAGATCTTTGTGGTAGGCGCGAGCGATTTTCTCCTCGACACGCATCACGCCTTCATCAACGCTCGCAGCGGAGGCTTGTGACATCGTGCTGTCTCCTGAAACCGACCGATTGCCAGCCTTCTTCTTCATAGGGGGCGGAGGAATGTCTTCGGGATGATACACTCGGTCATGGAAGATAGTACGAGCACGAGATGAAGGGTCGTTGATCCACGATGATGTTGGAACAGGCGGATTGATAATATCGCCAGCTGACTCAAAAATCGTTGTCTTTGGTGGAGCTCGCGCGCTTTTGGAGCTGTTGGTAGCTATAGAATCTCCTCGGGTAGCTTGAGGTCTTTTCCGCTGTTGCTGAGCATCCTGACCGTCCGTTGCCTCCGTTTCGCCTTGATTAGCCGCCTCCTCTCCATCCTCCTGGTAAATTGTTTGGCTGCGAGTGAACATCTTCTTATCTCTTGATGTATGCTTACCCGTAGGTCGAATGTAGCTCCACAACTGCATCAGAGTATTCTGAGGTTGGAAATACTGATCGTTTTCTTCGTCTTCTTCTTCTTCGCCATCGGGTGCTTTCTTTCTCCCATCTAGAAACTGATGTGCCGAAGGCTCTATCGAAGTTCGTGTCTGGGTTTGGTCATCTTGGTTGGTGAGATCCTCGCTAGGTAGTGGAACAGTCGTGTCGTTGCTGTTATATGTTGGTGACTCCGTGCCCGATCCAGCATCGTCGGTCAGGCCTACCCGCGACGGATTCGGCGAGGAGTTCTGCCCTGTAATCTGTCCAAATCCCCATACAGCCACAGTCCCAATGAGTCCATTTTCTCGGCGGGCCTTCTCCACTCGACCAAGACCTCGCCAGTCAAGGAAGAGGAGACAGCTAGTGCGAAGGGGAACAATACCGTCATTAACTACATTGGAGTAGAGTGTTCGATTACGAAACTTGCGAAGGACCACATGTGCTGGGCCTGTCGGCAGAATGCGCAACAGTGGCTTGGCTCCCGGATCGTCCTGGCTGCGATGGTTCGGAGACTGACCCCCAAACCCACTCACCATAGCGTTCCAGCCACTTTTCGCCAATGTCGGAGGTTTCCAGGTCAAGCCCAGGTCTTGTCCAGTTCGACCAACCAAGCCAAAGTCCAGAGCAAACTTTACGTAGATGGGATTCTCATTGCTGAGGCCGAGGAACGGCGATGCCAATGCGATGAAATTGATTGGCTTGATCGTGTCAAAAAATGTTGGAGAATGCTTTTGGATGTACGCTATGGCATACGTTTGAACAAGACCTCCAAGAGAGTGACCTATAAAACTTATGCTCGTGAATTTGTACGCGCGCTTGAACGGTTCCTCTGGCGACGGTTGCTGCTGTACCGTACTGCCGTGATGTGCAGGGATGCCCTCATCCGCTTTGTCCTTGGCTGGAGAGAATGTGCTCGACAACTTTTGCCCCATGGACTTCTTGATGGGGAAAAATGGTTGATCAGGATGTGTCAGACGTAAGACGTATTTGGCCAATCGTTTGCCTAGGTATTGGATGCCGCGTTCAGTGCGAATGACATTGCCATCGAAACCGCGAACAATGACTTGCTCTTCGTCGGCCTCGTCCTTGTCCTCGTGGTCAGATATTTGGTCCTGGCCGCCAGACAGAGGTGCTGTGGATACATCCTTCTGTTCGTTGTCATTCTGCTTCTTGGACCCTTTTTGTTCCTGTCGCCGTCTTCTACGGTCTTCTCGGGCCTGTCTGGCAGTCGCATCGATGCTTTCCTTGAGATATAGCATATCTGCACCCAAGTTACTGTGGAGACCATGTGTCACAAGCACCAAATGGATATTCTGCTGCTTCTTGTCCTGCTTCTTCTGCGTATGCGATGGATGTGAGTCTTTGGATTTTAGTCCATTGTTATCCTCCTCGTCTTCCCATTGTGGCAACTCTGGCTTATTCCAAAGACTTGATGTGTCGTCCACGACCAATTTGACCGCCTTGGAGTAGACGCCCTTGGTGCGAGCAGGGTGATTGGAGCTGGCATTTTTGTTCTGCTGGTGATCCTTGACTTTGCCTGGGACACCTTGACTATTTCCAGTGACAGCTGTAAAGCCCAGGTCCAGTGAACGCTCGTCGCGTGCCACTAACAGCTCGTAGTGAACAGAGGCAGAATTCGAGAAGATGATCTGCGAGGCGATTTCGATGATCCAAGTTGCACTCTTTGGTGATGCATCCTCATGCCTTGCCCCTTCTTTCCTGAGATGGTCTGGTACCGTCAGTCGCGTGTTCCAGTATCCGCCAGCCTTGACGTTTGGCTCAAAGTCCGGGACGCCATAGAGCTTTGGGTCCTTGGCCTTCTTGTTTGGATTAAACGTCGAGGGGTATGCAGAGACGTGTATGGTGTAAGGGCCATGGAGGTATGCGGCGCGTAGTGGAATGGCCGAAGTGTTGCGTATGCGAACATGGAGATGCGCTGGGGGCGGTAGAATTCGATCTTCAGAGGGTGTGTATGTGACGGTATATCTGCAGCATGTCAACACTTGGGCGATCTCCATCCATAGTTTCACATGTAAACGCTGTTGTATGGGGACTGGAGAGGGCCAACTGGAGTTGTCCACCGGCCCTCAGACGCGCCTAGTCCATGCATACCAATCCGCAGGTTGTTGATCGACTGCCAGAGAACTTACCTCACGACCTCGCCAACTTTGACCGCGCCAGTCTGGTGCAGCAGCAGCATCTTTCGCGCACGACGTTCCTCTGCCTGTAACTCCTTTCGCGACACAGCGCAGGTGAAGTACGAGTACTCAGCTCGCTTTCGGCCTTGGTCGGCGACTTGGGCTAGGGAGTAGGTGCGAGGTGTGAGCAGCATGTAGCGGACCTAGCGGAGTTGGAGGGAGCCAATGAGCCGAGATGACCGCGGAGACGTCATATGTCATCGGTTGTGTGTGGTGTGGTGTTGCTCAATCAGCTTACCCATACAAGGTGTGTATATATGGGGGGTGTTCGCGAGGCTTTGCAGCCCAAGCCTTTGTGGATAGACGATGTAGAGGCAGACGGTAGAGTAGCGTTGGCATGTGGTCACGCAGTGCCATTCGATCTACCCGTACCCGCACGCGAACCTTCTGACAACAAGACCATTTCTGAAGCAGCAAGTATAACTTGAACATCGTTTCCAGGCGACCTGTTTCCATGCAAGTGGCAGACGCACAAGTCCATCCAGCACAGGGCACGCGACCAAGACGCTATACAGACACAAGGGGGCGGATAATGATATACCGTCGGTACCGTACTCTATACGGTGCCGGTAGGTAGCTTCATGTCCATGCGCCTCCATCGGAACCCAAGTCAGCCGGCTCCGACCTCACTTCATACCTACAGTACATCCGCTGCACGTGTTCCCATCACACACATACTGACGCGCAATGTCCTTTCCGCCAAGTTCCGCAGGCTCAGAAGAGACATTCAATCATATTCGCAGTACTAGTAGGACGGGTTCTACCGTTGCGCGAGGCTGGCACATGCAACTCGATTCCAGAGGCGCCCACGTACCCAACAGGCACACAGTGGATGGTTACTACTTGAAGCACCGTTACGCATCATCAAGGTGATTGTACCCTGACCGATAGCCTCCAAAAGTTTATAATGATCATACTTGCTGGGTACATACTACAACTTAGCAGTGCTTTCACGAGAACGTAAGACTACTAAGAAAGACTGCACCTGATATCAACCCTCCTCCATCTGAGCAACTCTCGCACGTTTCAAGATCTGCACCGGCACAGAACTTCTGACTGAGGTGCTTAGTATATGACTGGCGTTGAATCGGTTGATATCTATCAACAATTTCTAATATACTCCACACACTTCATGTCCGCCAATCTACACCAGAAGTAGATCCCATTTGTCTAACAGTCAGTGGTCAAAGACTGCAGTCTCCCCAAAGTCACAGTCAATCAGCCATGCCAAGAAAAAAGAATGGCTTACCACTACCATCCACCGAGCCATATATCCCACCAAATCCCCTAACTGCATACACCGAGCTGGTAGCCTTCTTCTTAGCATCTACCCATCCATCAGCATCAATCGCATGCCTTCACCTCTGAACGCCATCAAATGAATTCCCGCTCAAATCTCTCACCTCCAACCCCCTCATCCCTTTCTAATCAGCCCGATTCTCGACTACAATGTCACACATGTACATTTTAGTATTTCGTATGCACTCGAAACCTGCTTGCCCTTGAAGCAAGTAGACGTCAAACCCTATTGTGACCCATGACAGCCTCCTGCATGTTACAACGCGTCCACATTATCATCTTGGTGCGGCTTTAGATGACCCAGTCACGGGACTGTTCGCATTTGGTTCCAGAAACGTAGGCCGCGTCTCCAAAGGAAGAGTCATCGCCATCATGTCAAGTATTGGGAGTCTGATGTCTGGGAAGTTGGTCGCATGTGTCATTGGCCCCTACCTTCTTGATAGAGCAGGAGCATGTCAAATGTGCTGAATGGTTTGACAGATATAATTATGCTTGTAGAGGTATTGCGGTTCTTTTGGCACATGGCTCATCCACGGCGGAATATGGACAGGAATAAAAAAATGGTGTATATAATCCTCTCGGTGCGTAAATCTACTGCTTGCTTTGTGCCTCAAGCAGTGAAAGATATGCCATGGTGCATTTATATGGCTTGGAGTTTTGCTGTTCTGTTCGATCTTCTGCGCTAAAGGAAGAGAGGAATAGGGGAACGGTGTCACTACTTAGTCTTTGACTGGACCCGATGAACAAAAGAAGCAGCATTATGCATAATCATAAGATGGAAGGAAGAATAACGATGGGGTGTTGTGTCTTTGATTGCGGAGGCGTGGCTCCCGATGTGTCCAATAAGGGGGCATGGCCTGAGCTCTGAGCGCTGACATTTCTACTTGGACATCTCCTTATGCATCCAGCGCAGCTTGCCGCGTTGAAACATGTGTTGCAAGCAAGCAATAATGATCTCTGTCCGAGCATCACGCGGGAGATCACGTATACTCATTTACCATATCACTGATGAGTCACAAGTGCCTGATCAAGCCATTCTGCACAGATACTCTGGGAAGCCATTCATATGTTCATGTCTATGGGAAAAACTGCAATAGCATGAAGATGTTTTGGTTAACACTTGCATTTATGAGCTACGTCCAGCCCGCCGGAAATCCGGTCATTCTACTCCTCAAATAAGCCTCTCAAGATCATTCCATAAGCCTCTGCGGCCTTGACCAGCTCTTCACGATCCAACCCTTCATTCGCCGTATGCGCGACTTGAATCGTTCCTGCACCGAACAAATACCTCTTCTCCACCTGTGGCAGATTTGGAATATCTGTTCCGTAAAACACAGGCGCGGCTTCCAGACCCTCGATATCCGTGTCCAAGATGGTTGCAGCATTGGCTGCATCGGCCCATTTGATATTGAAAGTTGCATTTGCTGCTTTCGCACGCGTGACAATGGGGGATAGCATACCCTCGATCATGTCTTTGACGTTTTGGACAGCATCATCCTCGCTGCGAGATATGCGAATGGCTATGCTTGCATTGGCTGCGTCGGGGACGACGTTGGAAGCGATACCGCCTTGTATGAGGCCTGTGTTGAGTGTTGTTGCGCCTAGTAGTTCGCTTTCAGGAAGGGCTGGCTCAAGACTATTCAATGTGACGACGGCCTCGCTCAAATAGTTGATGGCGCTTATGCCTAGCCATGGATACGCAGAGTGCGCCGACTTTCCTTCGACACTCAATGCCAGGCTTGTGAAGCCCTTGTGTCCGCTCGCAAGCTTGAGTTCGGTAGGCTCGCCGAAGATACCGGCACGGAATGTGGTGTTGGATGCGTAGGAGGCGAACGCTCTCATTCCTGCGCCACCCGTCTCTTCGCTGACGACGAAGAGCATACCGAGACTAGGCGTTGAGGTCTGAGACTCGAAGAACTTGTGCGCGGAAACGATCATACTCGCGATGAGGCCTTTGGCGTCGACAGAGCCACGGCCGTAGTGGTAAATTGTACCGTTCTCTTCGCGTCGTTCAAAAGGGTAAAAGGGTGGTACCTAAAGTCCGTCAGACTTTGAGCGACTTCATAGCTCTGAAGATAACCCACAGTGTCGATATGGCTTGTAATCAAGACCTCGGGCCATGCACCCTCATCTTTCAATGACTGAGGATACGCAAAGACATTGTAAGCCCCTGTATCCTCTTCTGGTACCTCCTCGACGTAGTATCCCAGCTCTTTCAAATAGCCTGTGATAAACTCGGCGCATTCGACTTCATCGGCAGAGATAGAGGGGATATTGACAAGCTCTTCATGAAGATTAAACAACTCGTCTCTCTCTTCTGTAGTCAGAACTACCGCTTCATCTGCACCCGATGGGCTGGGGCTAATTGAGCTTGCAGATGCTGATGGCTGAGAGCCTTGTGGTGCTGCTATAGCTATGGAGACAAAAAAGAGGCTCCACAGAGCTGTGAGCCTGGCCATGATAGTGTCTACAATTCAGATGGCAAACAGGCTGGAATGTAAAAGGTCCAGCCTGCCAATGGCGAGATCAACTATTTGTAGGGTTGTCGATCCGCCCGGTAACGGAATGCGTCATCCTTCCTTGTGCTTCTAGTATGCAATAGTGGGTATTATACCAAAGACGAAGCACTGTGAGAATGTTTCTGGACGCCTCACCATTGGCGTACGTCGTCAAAATGCGTATTCTAACGCTTAGAAGCGCTTGGCGTCATATGCAAGCTTATGGCGTCTATCACAACCGGTAACCGGGGGTCATTTGTGGTGTGAATGTTACTGTATTCATGATTGCTCATGCTGATTTCAGTCTCTCTACCTAGAGCTTATGGTTGTGGCCAATTGAATGGTAACAATTGTTTTCGGATCTGCCAATTGACTTGAGGTATGGTAGGTAGTCGTCCATTTCTTCAGGAAAGTCGTCACCGTATGTTAAGTATTGGATGAAGGCGGGATGACGAAGAATAGCGCTAACTATGGGACCGGGTAGAAATGCGGGGTGCGGAGATATGTTAGTTTACGATAAGACCATTCTTGGCAGTTGACATGCATAAAAGCGTCTTGGAAGTCATGGACCTAACACATCGGGAAAGCCGAAAAGCCAAATTACTCGCGGCATCGGATGCTCAACTACGCCCGTCGACATGGATGGACGCTGGTACTGATAAGGTTCCATCATCTACCCGATCCTGCCCCCATTTCTTTTCCTCCAAGTTCTTCGCCAACAAAAAAGTCATATCACCATTGAATATCGTGATAAGCTCCCATAAAGAACCTCGAGCATACCTGGATAATGTGATTTCCAGTTGAGAAGTTGACTTGCGAAGCAGTCATGTGGTCGCCACCGTCGCCAATTTCATCTATACCGTGCTGACATCCGAGCAAACAAAGCCGAAAGCCGAGGAAATCATGTCTCGAGATCTTGAAATGGGGCAAAGTCCAGCCCCTTGTCAAGATAGCTTCCATGGCTATATAGATATTTGCAGAGAACGAGTCACTTTGATCCACCAAAGGATGCAGACAGCAATCATTGGAATGGCAACCTGACATGGAGTTTTTCATGTCTCTAAGTGAGTAAAAAGGGTTCCCTGACCAGAATCTGACAGCAACAATTTGGAGACTCTATGCCTATTGGCCGCCTAACCTAAGCTTCCAGACGATCCTCTCAAAGTATCATGGATTTCAGATTCTTCCAGTTCTGTCAATTTCGGTGTATTTCCTCATAGGTAGTAAGTTAGATCTGGAAGTTTATTTCAGCGCCAATTTGTGCATTCACATATCGCAGTGTTTGAAGGAACCCTTCAACGCATGCGTTTTGATAGCTGTGTTTTATAATAAACTCAAAAGACAGGCGCAGACATTCCAAGTACATGTTGTTCATATGAATGCGCAGCACTGCTCTCGCTGGGGAGATGGACGACATCTCTAAAAAAAAACCCTATTCATAAGTGAATATTATCCATGTCCCTGAATAAGATTTCTTATTAGAACATATGCCACCGCCGAAAAAGCAGAGAAACATGTCCCACACAGCGTACATTTTCGGAACAGCCAATGCAGACAGCTAAGACTACCATAGCTCAATTTACATGCTACAGACAGCGGACGTTATTTCGTAAGATCCATTGAGGAAATCTCCCAGCACAACGCAACCATCATTATGGTAATTTGAGATTCAAACCAGAACGGCCATGTGTCAAGATTGTCTAGACTGCAACTACATACTCGACACACAATCTCGGCATCATCCAAGTCCTAACCCATAGTATCAGACAGGGTGGTGCTTTCTTCACCCCGCGCAGTAGACCAGACATGTATCGGTTATCATGATCATCGGTTTCGAGCACCTGGCATGGGATGTCTTCAGACGAAGATGAAGATAGGAGAAGAAGCAAAGACACACTCCAACATCACAGTATCCGACATGGTATTTTCCTGCCCAGCGCAGACGCACAACCACAATCGCAGGAATATTCTCTTTGGATCCCCATTTAGGGATACAGAATGTGTTAGGTGAAGAAAAGAAAGAGAAAGCGGTGCGTAGGCCGGGACTTTGTATGCTGTGCCAAGTCTTCACACATATGGGGTACGTCATTTCTGTGAAGGGAGGGATATTTTGAGTCTTGGGGTGTGCGAAAGGCGGTTATGGTATTGCAGCATGACATGGGATTTTTTATACGTGTGGTATGGTGATGTTATTATATCATATCCATTCTTAAATATCAACTACCATATGTGAGTGTAATATCGTCGAAGCACAACCAGCTCTTTTCACACATACACAACGACCGTGAATCCCAACCTCACATAACCATAACCCATCATCTCCTATCCCCATAACCCCCCTCCCTTCCTCTATGCCTATTTGCATTTCAAAGATGCATGCACCTGTGTACTCTAAGTAGCATATATATAGCAATTCTACTTTGCTAATTCCATACAACACCATACTTCTTCTACTCAATGACATATTTTCTCAAACCCCCCAAAAAAGACAAGAAAGAAAGCTCCAATGTTTGGTTTGGATATATAAAATACCTCCAGCTACCTATAATCCTTACCACCCAGCGACCTACCCCAGGTGCTGTTATACCATCCACGCGAGGGGGTATTACCTCCATCCCACTACGCCTGGTGACCCATATTTTGCCTACCTCCCTTACAATAAGAAACAAAAATACAAATAAAACATACTATCGAAAAAGGTCATTTCTTCCCTTTGTTTTTACTTTTACTCCTCGTGCTCTTGCTAGGAGGCGCTGTGTCTTCCGCACTCTCCGCCGCAACATCTACACCTGAACTCTCCTCTCCACCCACCACGACCCCGCCATCATCCTCCGTCTCGCGGTTATCAGAGTCGATGCCGCCATCGGACATGGCGCCTGCTAACCCGTCTTGCTTGATTTTCCTTTCCGCTTCCCAGCCCTCGACGAGATCGGCAACATCCTCTTGCGGCTTCTCCTTGCCGTTCCAGGCATGACAGCCGCCGCAGCGCCAGCGGCCGACGTCTTCAAGTGTGCGAGCACCGGGCGGTGCTTGGCCGTTGACAAGTCGGCATTCAGAGCAGATGAGAACAAAACGATTCTTAGGCTGTGTTTCGTCTTCACCAAGGAGGGCGTCGAGAATCCTGTCGTACCAGTGTACCTGGGTGAAGGTTGTTGCGGGGATGGCGGAGAATTGTTTCGAGAGATCGGCGGCACCGAAGGCGTTGGGAGCGAATTCGGCGCCTGGGGAGTCTTGCTGGGGAGGCAGTTGCTGGGACGCTTGGGGTGATGAGAGAATGGACTGCGGATGCTGCGGGGTCGAGGGTGGCTGTTGCTGGCTTCCAGGGCGCTGGATGTTGGCGGTTGGCGGTGGTGGCATGCCAGTACGAGGGCCAGGGGGTTGCGCTGGTTTCTGTGGACCTTGGGACTTGTTGCTGCCCTTGGGCGACGTGACCTGCTCCTTCTGCTTGGGGGAAGCACCATATTTCTCAAGCAATTGTTGCGTCGAGTTGAACTTGGTGACCTCCTTGAACCGTTCGATGGTAGCCTCGCGCTCCTTGTTGAGCTTCTTGAGGTAAGCATCGGTGCCCCTGATGCGGTAGTCAAAGTAGCTTGTGAGCGCGTAGCGGATGCCGTAGATGCTTTTGTATTGTTAGTCGCCAGGTATGGATGGTATGTGATGTGATAGACTGGGATTAGACTGACAGTACAGGTCCTCCCGCTACCACGGTGCTCTCTGTAATGCCCCAGTTCTGCCAGCCCGTCACAAGGGTGAGCAGGACGGCAGCGAGGATATAGGCGAATCCCGCATACAGCGTCCACATGACACGAGCGCGTCTCGAAAGCGCGCGCTGTCGGTCCTGTGTGGCTGTTGCGCGATTGATCTTGCCTGTGAGCGCATTGAGCGTCCTCTCGAAAGACGCGGCATCTTCACCAGCCTGCTGACGTGTAAGTAAGGGAAGCGACGGGATCACAGAGCGTGCAAGTTTATTTCACCTTTCCAAAAGGCCAGAAAGAAACCATGGTGATGCAATTTGGGGAAATGCAGCCCTAGTTGGGTGCTTGGAGTCTGCGATCAAGGCCAGCGAGGCATGCTCGTGTGTGTTTTGTGTGTATGTGTTTTGTCTACGTACTATCAGAGTGGCCTCGACGTCAGAGGTGCAGATGCGGAAGCCAGGGTCTTGGGAAAGCGTCGTGGTTGCACATCACGTGTCCGTCCTTTCTCGTGCCAGCCGCCTTTGCACATTGGAGACGACCCATGTTCCGGCCCATCGCCGACGACTTGCAACCACAAGCACTCTACTGCCCGCCAGAATAGATCCATGTCACGCGAAATGGCGCTTGTAGCATACAGAAACCTCTTGCGCTCGACCCGCATTGCCTTCCAGGGTATGACGACCATGTTCTCAGTGCTGGTACAATACACCTGCAATTGCCGCTCACATCTTCACAGGCGACATCAACGTTCTTTCTGCCGCCCGCGCCGAGGTCCGCAAGAACTTCGAATCCAACCGCAGTCTATCCGCTGGGAGCGAAGAGTATACAAAGCAAATCACACATGCCGAGGAGGTGGCAAAGTTCTTGCGCGAGAATGTCGTTCAAGGGCAGGCGACAGACGCAGGCAAATATCGTGCGTCTTCAGTGGTCAAAAATATATCGAGCGCAGACCGGCTAACATGTGGTGGCAGAGCTACGGATACACGAACACACGGAGCGAGGGGATAATGAAGATATCAAAAAGGCAAGGGGAAAGACTACGTTTAGGAGG